ACCTGTTTCGTGTCGATATCAATGTTGAAGAGCCAAGCCCTCAAGTCACGTTCCCTCATTCCAATCGACAACTCGCCGTCAATCGACGCAAATCGACAGCAATACACTAACAACGCGTCATTCGTATCCAACAACGCTCGTAACAAAGATGAATGCTGTTCGAACATCAGCGACAAGGCCGCTTTGATCGCCCGTTGCCTCTCATCCATATACCAAACCTAATTTCCGTTTAGTCTCATTACCGTTATTACTATTGAAATTGTCATTACTATTAAAATCACAACCGTTCCACTATTACTGTCATTACACCATTGTAATCACGTTATTGTAAATTATACCTCTAGGTTATTATAAAAATAATTTTACGAACGAAAATATTTTCATTCATCCAAATTGCTCTCACAACTCTATGCATCATGTAACCAAGGCTTGCAATCTTGAATACGCATCTTTTTTGATGATTTTCTGCAGATTCTGCGCAAACCTATGGCCACTGACAACTTTCGGATGAAAATAAGAATTTGAAAATAAAAACCTGAATTTTGTCGAGCGATGCACCACTCTGTTCAATAATCGTATTCATCCGATGCCAACAATCAACACTGTACGGACTCTCCAATATCCATTCCGCATCTTCTTTACACAAACCAAAATACCTAAAAATGAGGCAAAAATTGTCGAACAATTAACGACGCGATATTTCAAACAACGCGTTCAATTGATATTCTACGGACACGTTACTTTTATCGCCGAATCACGAATAATCATTCCAATAAAAAGAGCGAAACACAAAATTAAAACTCGAAAATACTCTAGATTGCTCTGACATGACATGTGACATCGAAAAAGAACTAAAACTACTAATTANAGATGATGATAATACAATTTTTCAACAAAAAAAATATTTTGATACACAGTATAAGAATGAAGGCTTTTACATAAGTACTTTCAAAGAACAGTCACTTTAACTGAATGAATAAATAACAGACGATTAATACTGCACAAAATAAAGTTGAACAGATCAAAAGAATGAATGAAACTTCAACCTGATTGCTTGTTTAGCAATGAAATGTGTGGGTGATGGAAGCGGTGGTTCGTTGACAGTACCCGTTCGAATCTGTGCCGGATAGAGGAAATGAAAGACACTTTCGGATGTGAAGCATATCATATGCGACGTTATTAACGTTCGCAATTCATTCGCACTTTGAAACGGTGACACTAAAGGAATACGATTCTGCGTCGACAGCGATGCAGCCAACTTCGCACGAAGTTCCATCAACAGCAGACCCGTTTTGTTGCCCTTCAACAATAGCCGATACTCACGCAGAATAAAATAAGAGCATATAAAACAACAGTGATAATCAAATAAGACCTTGCTAAATATGCAAATGAATAAAAGTAGTTGGATGATTGGATGTACCCTGATTCTCGATAATGCCGCAGGTGGTTTGACACGTTCAGTCATCCAGTCGATGATGTTGACAGGTGTAATGTATTGTTTCGTTAATAAATGCTGCAACTCAAACTCATCCACCTCAGATACCCACTGCGGATCACCTTCCACTCGATCGATTATGATCGCATGGCCCGTTGACAGCAACAGTTGTTGAAGGGCATCGTTTCGGGTCATCTTCAATTTCAAACAATCATCCTTAACGGCCAATTGAAAACACAATCGAGTTCGAAAATTTCATACTGTACGATCATCATTTAGTTCTACACTTCCACTAGATTCTCATCTCATCGAAAAGTACTTCGACACATCTCAAATTATTCAACAATTCTTCACAATTGTTCAGGTTGAATGGAAA